GCCCGTGCTAGAAACCGCATCCCGCTCCGGAGCGGGGCAGGGGTGGTGGGACAGGGCACTCCGGTGGCACAAACCCGCGGTCCCTCCGCTGCGTGTCCCATCCCGGCAAAGCAGGAGGCTCCAGCGCACAGCCCTCGGCCCTCCTCGCTTTGTCCCAGTGCCCTCCTCGCGTGTCCCGCTCCGGCCGGGAGCGCCGAGGCAGGTGCCGATGATTCACCCGGGACGGGATGGGCTGGGGACGGCCATAAACCCAGCGCCCGGCACGGCCGCCGGGGCCGGATGGCACCCGGTTCCCGCGCCCTTGGCCTGCAACCCGCTTGTCCGGCACCTTTGCATCCAGGGATCCCTTCTTCCCAGCGGGATGTGGCTCTGGAGTGGCTTGGTCCATGCCAGCCTTGTGCGCTTGCACCAGGGCCCCGCTGCTCCCGCGGGGCACCGTGCCAAGCTTTTCCCAGTGCGCCGAGCCCACCGATTAAACCCGGAGGGTTTCCCCCTAGGCCTCCGGTACGCGGGAAAGCCGAGCCAGGCCCGGAGCTCCCGTGCCCACAACCCGCGGGGCTCCGGGGGCGCCGGGAACGCCAGGAATGCGCCGGATGCGTCGGGACTTGACGGCGGGAGGTCCGGGGTGACTCACGCGGAGGCCGCGGGGCTCGCGGCAGCCGCTGCCGGTGTTTACCATCCACATCAGCGCGCCCGCTAATGCGCTTAAGCGCTTTTTCCCTAACGGAGGAGCCACTCGGGGGAGATCTGCCAGCAAACAGCAGGGAATCGGTCATTTGGGGGGAAAAAAATGGGGAAAAAAATTCACCAAGCGCTTCTGTGGGAAGGGCACGACCTGCATTCCTGCAGCTGGGGGGCTCTCCGGAACCGGCTGCTCCCGACGGATGGCACCGGACGCTGCTTTGCGCAGCCCGGAATGCCGGGAGCCTCCAGAGGGGGGATACGGAGCCCCTCGGAGCCGTGCGCTTCCCGCGGGTGCCCTGGCCGCGGGGCCGAGGGGGTTAAGCCCGGCCGGCGGCCGCGGTGCCGGTTAATGATTGATGGCTCCGGAGGCGGCCGCGCAGCCGGGCCGTGCGGGACTCGGCGCCGCCGCTCCAGAGGCTCCGGGTTTGGCGCCGGCGGTGCTCCAAGCAGGTGTCCCGGCCTCGTCTCCACGGGATCTTCCCCATCGTGGCTCCCTCGCGCCGCCGCTGCCGCCTGATCCGGCTGCTGCTCCGCTCTGTTTTGCCGCCTCGCGGGGCCCAGCGCTCCGGGCAGGTATTTGGGCGGGAAGGGCCCTCTAAGGGCCTTGACGGGAGGGTGAGTCCTTGGGACCCCATCAGGATCCAGAGGCCACCCGGAGCTCCGGGATGTACACGGCGGCTCCTGGTCCCAGGGGTCTCCCCAGGATGGGGGCCGTGGGATGTGTGGGTCCCAGCGGCCACGGAGCCGGGATGGGGGCCGTGGGATGCGCTCCGATCTCCGTGCCTTATGGATCCCTCCGCTCGGTGCCCGGGAGCTTGCGGGAGCCGGGCTTGGATGCCGTCCTGCTCCAGGGATGCCCTTCGCCTCTCCGGAGCCCCTCTCCGGATACGGAGCTGGAGCGCGATGGAGCTGGGTTGCCAGGGAGATAAAACACAAACAGCCGGTGCTTTCTCTTCCCAATTCCCTCCGGTGGGAGCCTGGAGGCGGCCGGCTCGGCCCAGCCCTGCCGTGGCTGCCAGGAGCCGCTTTGTTCCCTGGAAATCCCCTGGCTTCCCAGATGCTCCCAGCCGGCTGCGGCTCCCCAGGCTGCTGCGGGTGGATGGATGGATGTGGACGGACAGATATGGATGGAGGAGGGTCCTCAAGCTCCCTCCACTTGGCCTTTCCTTGGATCCAGATCCTTGGATCCCATACAGAATCCCAGCCAGGGGATGCACTGTGTCCCACAGGATGCCCCGTTGCTCCTCCCGCAAATCCAGGTGCTCCGGGGCTCTGCCCTCCTTTCCCAGGGGCTTTTCCCGGCGCATCCCACCGGCGCTTTGCATCCGTACACGCGATCCAGCTCCGGCTTTGCGGCCTTCCCGGCGCGGAGCTCGGAGGCGCTGGGAGGCGAGCGGGAGCGTGTGGGAGCCGCAGGTAAAGCCCGGCCTGGACGTGCCCGCACTGCGGCTCCCAGGCCTGTCCAGGCCGGCTCCCACGGGACGAGGGCCGAGCCCCGCTCCGTGCGAGCAAGAGGGCAGCCAGGGGCTCATTAACTGCCCATCCGCATCCGGCTCCTTCCCGGAGGAAAGGAGCTGCTGGCGGCTCCGGGAGCGCCCTCCACGGCGGCAGGGCCGGCACCAGGACAGGGATTAGGTTACGGAGGAGGGAGCGGAGCCGGGGGGGGTGGAACCGGCCAGCTGGCAGCCCTGGGCTCCCGGGAAAGCCCCGCCAGCGGCTCTGCTTTTCCAGGGCCTCAGGTGCTGCCTTCCCAGCCGCAAACCTGGCCGCTTCCCGGCCCGCGCTCGGCTCCGGTGAGGCCAACACTTCCTGGAGCTGCTCCGTGCTGCCCTTCCCATCCTTGCTGTGTCCCTTTCCTCCCCACGCTGCCTTCCCCTTCCTCATCCTCTCCCCGCAGGAGCCAGCCCTGCGCATCTCATTGCAAGCGCAGGGCCCTCGGAAATGCTGAGAGCAGCAATTCCCAAACTTCTCTGCCTGCAGATCCCCGACCTTCCCTTTGTTGGGCTGAATCCCTGCCCGCTCCCGCTGCCTCTCCTCCCCCGGGGTTGCGACCTGGCCTTTTGGCAGGGCCCGGAGCCCGGCAGCTCCACCCCTCCGAGCGCTCCGGCCCTTTCTTTCCCCCTTGTCTCAGCCCAGGCGGCTGGGAATAGTGACGGGAATTGCACGGGCTGCTCCCTTGTCCATACACCAGCCGGCAGGCAAGGAGCTCTCGGGGATTATTGTTCGGCGGGTCATAAATCTTCCCGAGGTGTCGCGGCTGCCGGCCGGCTCTGCGCTGGCTCCCTCATCAATGGATCCTTTTTGTTCCCTGCAAGGTTGGGAGACGCTTCCCAAATGCCGGGTGCGTTGGAGAACCGGGCTCCAGAACCGCCTGGATGCTCAGCCCAGGGGTCCGTGTCACCCAGGAGGGAGGGCTCCGGGGGCAGGAGAGGAGCTGCTGGCACCGGGAATCTGGGTCGGGATGTGGGTGGCCAAGGTGGCTCCTTCCCTGCGGAGCAAAGCAGCTCCCGGGAGCCCCGCGCTGCGGCTCGGTATGGTGGCCTGGATTTTGCCCCATTTCCCCATCCCTGAGTCCCCCGCATCCTGTCAGACTCCACTCCCCATCCCCATCTGCTCCCATGGGCGTCTGGACGCGCCGGGGATGGCCCAGCCCAGGGTGCAGAGGGAAAAGGGCTGCCAAGGAGGCCGGGGAAGAGGCTCCCGCGCGGAGGCGAGGCCGGCACAGGGGCCATCCCGGGCAATCGCTTCCTCCTGCGCTTCACCTGCTCCTTCCAGCTGGGCTTTGTTAACTCCTGCGCTCCCGGCTGTGCCGAGAGCGCCTGGAAAACCTGCACCGGGAGCGTTGCTGGGGCTGGCAGGGCTTTTGGGTGCGCCGTGTGGCTGCGGGGCTCGGGGTATGTGGGGGATGTTTACGGGGTGCGGGGCTCCGAGGTTTGCTGGTTTCTTTGCTGCGCTTGGAAATAACGAAGGTGGAAGCAAAACGTGGGCTGCTCCCGTCACCTTCCAGTCCCAGCCTGGGGCTTTTGCTGGGCACTCTTGCTGTGTTGGGACGGGGGTCAGGCTGCAGGGGCCGTCGCGAGGCTGCACTGGGTGGGCACGAGGAGGAGGAGGCTGCCATTCCCACGTGCCGTCGCATCCCTGGCTCCCTGGGCAGCACTTGCTCTCACCCGTGGTGAGCGCTGGCCTGTGTCCAGGGGCCGTTGGGGGACCTTGACCACCGCCGTTGCAGCGGGTGACAGTGACTGTGGGTGCAGGGAGGACATGAGGCCGGCACTGCAGGTCCCTCAGGGCAGGTCCCTCTCTGCCTGCATGCATCCAGGTGCAGGTTCATCCGAGGGTGCCCTGGGATTGAGATTTACCCCATTCCGGAGCTGCAATCCCACTGGCACATCCCCTGCTTGCTGCCTGAAGGGGTGTCCAGCCAGCATAAAGCCGGAGCCGCCTCATGCTCCTGCATCCCGGCCTTTTACTGGGGTCCAGGCCGCCCCCTCCTTGGGGACGGCTGTGAAGGAGGGGCAGGTCCTGGCAGCACAGAAGTGTCCCCAGGTGGTCCGGGCGCGGGGCCAGGCCGCTGTCCCGCGGCGGGGCCGTGCCGGGCTGCAGGGCAGGCGGCTCCGCGGGCTCCGCTTCCTTCTTTGGAGCTTTCTTTGAAATGTCGGTGCCGCCTCCCCTCCCTTCCCGGGAACCAGCGCAGCGCCCTCCTGGATGAGCATCCGCTTTGCCAAGGGCGGCGCAGGGGGGTCCTGCAGAGTCCCCCCCCCCCCGCAATTCCCACTTCCAACACGGATGCACTGGAATCTGGCAGGGAGCACCGGGCTTTTTTGGCTAGCGGGACCCCCGGGGGGGCCGCGAGCCCGTTCGCTAGCAGCTCCGCAGCGTTACCGGCGCTCCGGGCTCTCCGTCCCGTTCCCTCCGCGCGACCCTGCGCCAAAGTCGCCGCGCCCGTCGGGGGGGCAGATGCGGGGCGGGGGGTGAGCCAGGGGGCTGCCTCCCCCCCAGCCGCTGCCCGCGCCCTCCCTTCCCTTCCCTTCCCTTCCCGTCCCCGGTGGGGGCGGCGCTGCCCGTCACCTCCGCTGCCCGTCACCTCCGCTCTCCTTGGGGACGGGGCCGCCGCGCCGTTTTGTCACCGCTGCCGCGGCGGGGCCAGCCGGGGAGGCGGGCGGCGACGCGGCGGGCGGGCCGATGTCGCCGGCCACGGGGCTCGGGGACGCGGCCGAGAAGCCGGAGACCCCCCCCCTCCACCCCCTGCCCGCCCCTCTGCCCGCCCCCGGCGCTGGCAGCGGGCGCCCGGCCGGGGGGCACTTTGCACCATGCTGAAGTTTCGGGCGGACCGACGGGTGAGGTAGGACCCCCGCGCCGGGGGAGGGCAGGGGGGGAAGCGGGGGCCACCCCGGGGTGGTTTCGGGCGCGGGGGGGCCCAGCCCGGGCAGTGTCTGCTGCATTGCGGTGCTCGGGCAGGAGCCGCCGGCTCCGGAGCTCGCGGCGCGGGGTCAGCGCGGGCGGCCGCTCCGAGGGGGCGCTCGGGGGAGGGTCCCGGGGCCGGGGGGCGAGGGCAGGGGCGGCAGGAGGCACCGAGGGCGCTGCCAGCGGAGCGGCGGGCGCCGCGAAGGGCGGGAGCCGGCGCTGTCCCCGATGCCGCTGGTCGCCAGCCCCTGTCACCGTCACGCTGCCGCTGCTCCAACGTCACCGGCTGCGGGGCAAATGCTCTGGAAGCAGCTCCCGGCCGGGGTGGCAGATGCACCCCCGGAGCCCAAGCAGGGCGCGTGGGACGAGCAGCCTGGCCCCGTGCAGAGCTCCCCAGACCCTTCATTGGGGGCAGCAGAGGTGGTGCTGCCCAGGGGCAAATTAGGGGCTCTGTCCCTCACGTGGGGAACACATGCACCTTGCAAAACCTTCTGAGCTGCCCCACAGCAAGAGGAGGGCAATGGGGGGAGGACATAGCGGTGGCCAGGACAGGACCTGGATGGGGACGCCGCTCAGCAGGGCTTTATTGGCAGAAAGCCCCGGAGTCTCCGGAGACTGGCTGCAGCCCAGGCGAAGCGCAGCCGCGCGGGCCTTGACGGCCGTGGCTTCTCGCTCCAACTTTTCCCCTTCTGCTGGTGCTCAGTGCTCCTGCGGCCCGCTGGCTTCACGGCGGGGCTAGGGGCACTGGGCTCCTGTCTGTGGTGCCCACTCGGTGGCTGTGGGAAGGAGGACTTGGCATAGGGAAGATGCGCGGAGATGCCCGTGCTCCCATCGAGGCAATGCAGCCTTGGAGCACCGACCAAGGGCCCGCTCCTTCCCAGGCGGCTGCTTGCTCGCAGCAAGGAGAGCTCAAGGTTTTTCCATGTGAGCGGTGCCTCCAACCTGCTGATGCTCCGCAGCTGGGTGGCCGCGGGCCAGGCTCGCAATGTGCCGCGGAGCCCCGCGTGCTTGCGGCCGGTGCTGCTTGTCCCGCATGGGCCGCTCGCCCTCAGCGCCGCTGCACGTGCCCTTGGTCCTTTCCAGCGGACAAAACCTTAATGCCAAGGGCTGCTCCCCTCCAACCCCGCTGGAAGTGGTTCCTGGATGTTTCCTGCCCCAGCCGCCTCATGCCAGGCCAAACGCGGCCCTGGCACGGAGGCCAGTCTGGGAATACCGGCTCTGCGGGATGGGGCAGGGGCCAGTGCAACTCGGCGAGTGTTTTTTGCAGAAATGGATTATAAATCATATGGATTAGCATTGTAAGGATCAGCGATAGGCGAGGCTGGCATTATAAGTGCTGCAAATCCGCAGGCAGTGACAAGGGGCTTTTGGGAGCCCCTTCCATGCGCAACTTCTCACGGAGAGCCCGGCAAATCCCACTTGCCTTCCTGGGGTCGCCCCGCTGCAGCGCCCATGGGGCTGGCATGGCCCATGGCATCTCCGGAGCGGTGCTCCGGGTGGGAGCTGCTTTGCCCCGTAGGGACCATCCCCAGAGCTCCTGCAAACTGGTGACAGAGGCGCCAGCAGGCGCTCGATCCAGGTCGGCAGCTGGCGGTGCGGAGGCGAGCGCGGTGGTGGCACCAGCTTGTCACACCCTGCCACCCCCACGAGTGCCGGGCATAGGCCAAGGGACCCCTCTGTGGTCCCCAGCGTGCCCCTGATGCCACCAAACCACCTCGATGTCTCCTCTCTCCGCAGCCACAATGAGAGGCGGAACACGTTCCTGCACCCCGTGACAGGACAGATCCCGGCGGAAAACGCAAGATTTGCTTTGCAAAAGTAGGTCGGCGCCGGGCTCCCTCGGATCTGGGGCTGGGGAGCGGGTTGCAATGGGGCGGGCGGGGGGCCCGGCGTGGGGCTGGCGCTGATGCCGCCCTCTCCTCCCGCCCTTGTGCTGCAGATCCCCCTTGGACATGTCTGGAAAAGCCGTCGGCAAGCGGCCGGCCACCGTCCCCAGCGAGTCGTCCAACCACACCATGGTGGCGGAGGCGCCGCCGGAGCGTCCCGGAGGCCGGGTGGGTGCCAGCGGCAGCGCGGGGTGAGCGGCAGCTTGTGGGGACCCTCAGGCGCTGAGTGTCCCCCTTGCCCATCCGCAGGCCTCGCGCCCGTCCCGCAAGGGCATCGCCTTCGGGAAACGCTCCAACTCCATGAAGAGGAACCCCAACGCGGCCGTCACCAAGAGCGGGTGGCTCTACAAGCAGGTACCCGGTGCCAGAGGCTGCCCAGGCGCCTCGCGTGGGGCACGGGTCCCCGCAGAGCCCCTCACCATGGCCTCTCCCCCAGGCCAGCTCGGGCGTGAAGCAGTGGAACAAGCGCTGGTTTGTGCTGGTCGATCGCTGCCTCTTCTACTACAAAGGTGGGTGACGCGGAGCCCGTCCCGGGGGACACAGGGCCGGGGGTGGCACATGTGGACAGCACCAGCTTGTTGGCACCGAGCACGACTTGTCAGGCCAGCAAGGGGAGGTGAGCACCTTGCAGGGGGCAATTGCACCGTCGAGATGTCCCCTGGGTGCAGGTGCTTGCACCAAGCAAGCACCAAGAGGTTGGACCATGAGGTTCCTCTAAGGCTCAGGAGCAGGGATAGGGATCCTCCATCAGGCCACGGGAAGCACCCATGGGACTGCCGGGATGAGTGGCAGCCACGGATGGCACCTGAGTTGAATCCCGCTCTGTCCCCTCAGATGAGAAGGAGGAGAGTATCCTGGGCAGCATCCCGCTGCTCAGCTTCCGCGTGGCGGCCGTGCAGCCCTCGGACAACATCAGCAGGAAACACACGTTCAAGGTCAGCGCGCGGCGGAGCTCGCGGGGTCCCCGCGCCCCCGCTTCCCTGGTGACGGGGCTGGAGCGGAGCACTGCGCTACCCGGGATGCTGGAGGGGGGAGAAGCGGCAGGAGGCAGATTTGTCCCCCTGGGATGTGGGGAGCGGTTTGCAGAGGGGGCTCTCGGCCCCGGATCCTTCACGCTGAGCTAGTCCTGGAGCTGCAGGCGCCGCAGTGTCCCTTCACCCGCGTGATTGCGCATGCAGCCCCGCTCTGCGGTGCCCACGCGCCCGTGCATGGTGCGCCCCGCACCCCGCGCGCTTGTGCAAGCACCAAGCCCACGTCTTCCCGCTGCGCCTCTCCGGATGTTTGTGCACGGGGACTAGGCAAAGCAAGCGGTGAGAGCTGCTGATCTGCCCCAAGCCCTGCTCCTGACTCATGTGCGTGGACCCGTCAGCTCCAAACCAGTGTTTAAGCCGCGCTGGGCAGCGCCCAGGAGGGGCACACGGGCTCTGCGGCGTCCCCAGGGCTGTCATGCAAGGAGAGGTGTCTCCTCGCGGGCGGTGGCCGAGAAGTGTCCCCAAAGTGTCGAAACCTCCCCGCTGCCATGCGCGACGGGTGGGAGAGCAGCCTTGTCGAGCTGGTTCTTGCAAACTGACGTTGATCCACGAGGGCCCGAGCTGGGGGTGTTTCCCCACGCACGTGAGCGCGTTGGCGGGTAGCGTTGTTGAGAAACGAGCATCACCTTGAGCTGCGGAGGCTCCGTCTGTCCTCAGCTCCAGCCCAACCCCTCTGACAGGGTAGGGCAGGAGCCTCCACCGCACCCCGTCCTGAGCTGCGGTGCTTCATTCGCACCCACGTAGCCTCCAAACAGCCCATGCCACAACGCTGGGGCTCCAGTCCACCCTCGGGGCTCCCCAGCAACGCGAAAGGAGGCAGAGAGGGTCCTAAAAGAGAGGCCGCCGGCACCGCTCGGCCTCCATCGAGGCCTCCCCGTGGTGGCCGCGTGGGCGCTGTGACCTGTTTTGTCTTTCCTCCTTTCCGCCCGGGCGAGGATCCCCCTTGGACAGGAGGTCTCCGTGGCAGCTCCGCGTAGGTAGCACGTGCTCGCGGCGCCCTGCATGCCGGCGGGCACGGCGCGCTCCGCTCCGCGCGCGCTCGCCCAGGGCACGGAGCCCTGCGGTCGTCGCTGCCGCTGCTGCATGGAGCTGGCGGGGCTGGGAGCAGCCCCTGGGGCTGCCGCGGCCGGGAGATGGAGAGGGTTAATCGCAGCCGCGCATTTTGTCATGATTTAAAGGAATTAAGTGCTAAAAGCACTGCGGGAAGCACGCCCTTTTCCTCCCGCCTCGCTGCATGCCAACCCCTTGCAAAGAGGGGGAAGGTGGAAGCTTCAGAAAGGCCACGGCTAACCGGTGCCTTCCCACCCCTGGGTGGCCAGTGGGCACTGATATCATGGGCCAAAAGGGACCCTTTGTCCCTCAAATGGTGCTGGGTCTAGAAGCCACCTTCCCCTGAGCCCTGCATGAGCGAGGGCAGTGCATGAGCTTTGGGCAGTGCTCGTGCTCACCCTTCACCCGCCTCTGAGCACCCCGAGGGGACCCCGCGAACGGGGGCTCGTCCCTTTCAAGACACCAGCCGCTGCTCCTGGGCACCTCTGGGTCCTTGTCCCCAACCATGGGGCACGTGGCTGGTGGAGCTGAGGGGGACCCGCTGCCCTGCAGCGAGACCTGGTCCTCCTGCCACCATCCGTGGCCGCTTGGCAGCAACGTGGGCCCGCTGAAACCAGCAGGGCCAGGGCTGGTTCCCATCAAGACCAGTCCATGGAAGTTGGTTTGCGGCAACTGCTCCGGTGTCGCTGGTTGCTGCTGCAAGGCTGGAGGCTATACCAGTTCCACTGGTGGCAACTTGCTCTTTAAAGGCAATAGGCACAAGCCTCCAGCTGCGTCCTCAGCGAGGCCCTGGGCCGGCTGAGGAAGAGGCTCAGAGTGCGAAGCCTTCCTCCCACGACGCGGAGCTGGGACCGCGTGGGGACCACGGCACCCGGCGCAGCTCCTGCGGCGGCTCCGGCGGCCGGCAGCCACGCTCCGACTCGCCTCTCCATCTCTCCCCACTTGTCTGCCTCCCTGCAGGTGACCGTGTGCTGGGCGGAGGAGGCGCTGGGCCGGACCAAGCACTCCCTGTCTCCCCAGGCCGAGCACGCCGGCATCCGCACCTACTTCTTCAGCGCCGAGAACACCGAGGAGCAGGAATCCTGGATCCAAGCCATGGGCGAGGCAGCCCGGGTGCAGATCCCGCCGGCACAGAGGTCAGCGTGGGCTGGGGAGCGCCCGGGGCAGTGTCACCCCGCCGGGATGGTGGGGTGGCCCCCGCTGTCCCCGAGTGGATCCAAGGAAGGTGATTCCCTCCTGTGTCTCTGCGCATGTCAGGCATGAGAAGCCAGACTCGGAAAACATCCCGCCCAGCAAACACCACCAGCACCGCAACATGGTGCACCGCGAGCACCCCAAAACCGACCCCGACGCCAAGACCCGCGGCGAAGGCGATGGCCGGGGCTCCGAGAAGCTCGAGAGGAAAGCGGAGCGGGTGGAAAGCAAGAAGGAGCCCTTGGCCAAAGCCAATGGCGTCGCGGGCCAGGAGATGCCCTCGGAGCCGGGCAGCCCGTCCGCAGGGGCGCCGGGCAGCGCGGAGCGCCCGCGGCAGCCCAACGGCTGGCCCTGCTCGCCGCCCGGGCGCCCCGGGAGCAGCGCGCGGGCGGACGGCGAGGGCTCTGGGGCACCGCGCCGCGGCTTCGCTCCGCGCGCCCACCCGGACAAGGCGGCGCAGCGCAAGAGCTCCATGACGCAGCTGCAGCAGTGGGTCAACCTGCGCCGGGGCAACGTGCCGCCCGAGGAGCTGCGCAGGTGGGCGCCGCTCCGGCTTTCCGTGTGGTACTCCCGGAGCAGCCCATCCCTCCGGGGCCATCCCTTCCCGGGGATGGAAACCAGCCCATCCGGGGGCGTCTCCACGCGCCTGGCGCTCACGGCTCTTCCCCCCTGCAGCCCCACCAGGTTTTTCCCCGTGTCTCGCCGGGTGCCCGACTACTATTCCCCCTACTCGCCGCAGTATGCCGAGGACTACCAGTACTACCCGCCCGGCGTGCGCCCCGACTCCATCTGCTCCATGCCCGCCTACGAGCGCGTGAGCCCCCCGTGGGCGCTGGACGACAAGCGCCTCTCCTTCCGCAACGGGGGCCCCTACCAGCTCCGCGAGTGGAAGGAGCAGCCGGGCTACGCTCGCCAGGACGTCCCGGTGTGGCTGCCGGGCCCCGGGCGGCAGCAGAGCTACTACGAGGAGGTGGAGGCGGCGTCGGGCTCGCTGCGGCGCATGTCGCTGCAGCCCCGCTCGCGCTCCGTGCCCCGCTCGCCCAGCCAGGGCTCCTACGGCCGCTCGCGCCTCTACTCGCCCGTGCGCTCGCCCAGCGCCCGCTTCGAGAGGCTGCCGCCCCGCGGCGAGGACATCTACGCCGAGCCGGCTGCCTTCCTCATGAGGCGCTCGGTCAGTTCGCCCAAGGTAATCGCCCCGGGGAGCATCCCTGGGGATGCAGCGCTGCAGCCTGGCCCTAGGAGCGCGGGAGGAATTGCACGGGAGCCGGTGCGGCGCGATGCTCCCGGGGCCTGTTCCCATCTCCGCTTCCCGGGTTGCCCTTTGTTACACGCTCCCCGGGCCCTCGCAACCCGCTCACGTCGCTGGGGTCTGCTGGGGGGTCTCCTCTCTCCGCAGTATGACTACCTGGGCGACAGGCGGCCCGTGCCCGTGGGGATGTACCCGTTCCACTACCCGGCCTCCCCCACGGTCCACGACAAAATGGTACGTAGGCTCCTGGCCAGCCCGCGTGGTGACGTCCCCAGGCGGATGCCACCTGGTGCATCCAGGGCCCGGGGAAGCTGGGGCAAGCTCGTGGCACATGGCCTGGGCAGGGTGGTGTGTCCAGAGCATCCGCTGGCAGCGGGAATGGGCTGCCCAAGCCCCCTGCATCCGCAGCGCATCCAGGCCAGGGCAGATGTATCGGGGTCCTTGCTTAGGTGGCCGAGGAAGAAGATGGTCTGGTCCAAGAGCAGCTTTATGGGTCGGAGAGGTGCTGGTCCTAGGCTTGTCACCCAGGCTGGCTTGGGAGCCGTTCCAGGTGCGGACGGGATGAGGCTGCTCCGTTGCCTCTGCTCCCTTCCAGCCTCCTCCCTGAAGCTTTTTCCTGACCTGGCTTTTCCCTTGGCGGTTTGGAGGCAGCAGGGCAGTTCCAGGAGGTCCTGGTGAGGGGCCCTGGCCAAGCGGAGTGCCTTGGTGGGGTGCAGATGCGTCCCCATGTCCTCACCTGCGCTGAGCGGAGGCTGTTGCTGCTCTCATGTGTCCCATGCCAAGGGAAGGGTCTGCCGGGAGCAGCCGGCACAGCGGGGCAGCGAGAGCCGGAGCGCCAGGCTCGGCGTGGGAGGCGAAGGGGCCCTGCGCTCCCTGCACCTCCAACACCAGCGCCGTGGAGCGCGCGGGCAGGACCGAGCGGCGGCCGAGGCCAGAGCAGGTGCCTCCATCGCCGGGTCCCGCCGTGGCTGCGTGTCCTGGGCAGCGAGCGGCGCGCTCAGGGCCGTGCCCGCGGCCTCGTGCTGCTGGCAGGGCAGGGAGGGGATCCTGATCCTGCCCCTCTGATCCTGCCCCTCTGCTCCGCTCTGGGGAGGCCAAACCTGGGGCTTTGGGGGCAGCTCTGGGCTCCCTCGGACGAGAGGGATGTGGAGCTTCTGGAGAGGGGCCAGCTGAGGGCAAAGAAGATGATGAAGGGCCTGGAGCATCTATCGTACGAGCAGAGACTAAGCGAGCTGAGCCTGTGTTCCCTGGAGAAGAGACGATGGAGAGGGGATCTGATCAATGTGTCCAAGTACCCGAAGGGGAATGTAGGGAGGAAGGGGCCAAGCTCTTCTCGGTGGTGGCCAGTGCCAGGACAAGGGGCGATGGGGACAAGCTGAAGCCCAGGCAGCTCCACGTGCCCGTGAGGAAGGGCTTGTTTGGGGTGAGGGTGCCCGAGCCCTGGCCCAGGCTGCCCGGGGAGGCTGCGGAGGCTCCTGCTCTGGGCATCTCCCAACCCGCCGGGATGCGCCTGGGTGCCCCGTGCTCTGGGTGTCCCTGCTGGAGCAGGGGGATGGATAGATGATCCTGAGAGCTCCTTTCCAACCTCAACCATTCCGTGCCGCTTTGGAGGCATCCTGCGAGCGTGCGCCGTGCGAGGAGCGCGCCCGGCGAGCCCGGAGCGATCGAGGAGGCGGCGCCCCGCTCCAGGAAGGCTTTGCATTTCTACAGCCTCCACCTAACCGCTTTGCTTCTTCTTCTATTTGTTTTGTGTGTTCGTTTCTTGCCGCATGTCTGCTGGCTCCCGGTAGGATGAACTTTTAGACCTTCAGTTGCAAAGAAACCTAGAGTATTTGGACCAGCAGGTAGGCAGAGCTGGCTGCAAACTCCCTGCTGCTTCACGTGCCCGTGCGCCCCATCCCCTTCCCTCCTAGCACAGCATCGTCCCCCTGCACCCTCCTTGGCATCCGAGCAGCACGAGTGGTTTTTGGTTTTGCTTCCTCCATCCCACCGCCCGCAGCTCGCTCATTGCTTGGCAGAGCCCCCGGCAGCGCCGTGGGTGCCGGAGCTGGGGCTCCAGGTGTCCCGTGAGGAAGGACACAGTGGTCCATCCGGCTCCATTCCCCTGCATCCTGGCTTTCCAGGAGCTATTCCTGGGTGCTGGGCACTAGGCAGGGGTGCCAGGCGGGAAGTCGTGCTCCAAACCCCGTTCCTGGTCGGTCTCAGGATGGCAGCACAGTGCAAAAGCGCAGGGATAGCGAGCTGGCACGAGTGGCTAAAGCAGCCTAGGAAGGGTCCCTAGGAAGGGTTGGCATCCAGTCCCTAACCAGTCCAGGTGATGAGCGATGCCCTCCTGGCAGCGGGAGGGGTGAGATGCAGAGATCTGCCACCGCGAGGCCAGCGGGGCAGCCTGGCCGTGCCTGTGCCCACAGGGAACACCCGGGGCGCTCGTGGTGACGCCCTGACCCTGAGCACCCTCCAAGGACGCGGGACCCTGCGCAGAGAGGGCCGGAGAGCCCCCGGTCCCGTTAGCAAAGCGGCAGCTCCCGTCAGTGCCATGCGCTGCCCCGTGGGCACGTGCCAAACTGCACTTGGAGGGAGGCCACGAGGTGACACCCGCTCGGGAGAGGGAAAAGCTGTGGGAAACAGGAGCATCCGGGTGGAAACCGCAGGCATCATCCGCAGCCGAGGAGAAGGAGGAGGAGGAGGGACTCGCGCTCGCCTGCAAAAGCCGGGCTTGCTCCATGGGAGCTGCTCCGGAGACAATCCCATTAGTCTGCAAATCCCCATCCGTGCTGTAATCACCGCGATCTGTGTCTGCCCTGGAGCGGAGCCAAACACAAGCAGGGGCGCTCGGTGCTGTAAAAACTCCCTGGATTATTTCACAGCCATCGGCTGCAGTGCTCGCTTCCCGAGCATCCTTGCAACGCTCCTAAAAAGGCTTTCTTCCTCCTCCTCCTCCTGATCTCTGGAGAGAGGCTAATTCAAAATGTCCCTGTCAAGCATCTCTTTTGGAAACCGTTTGCTTCTGTGTTTTTAAAGCAGCTTGCTGCTTTATTCTTGCTCTCCTTGTCTGTCCGCAGAGCTGTGCCGGGGAAGCCGGACGCCTTCCCGGCTGCTCCTTCCTGGGAAGCTCCCGGGCCCTGGCACAAGTCTGGGTTTAAAGATCCCCTTGGAGCTGCAAGATGCAGCAGAATCATGAGTGTGGTTGCTTTGCCTCCCGTCTGTGGGACCCCGCAGAGCTTCTGGGGGGGTTCCTGGCACCCAGAAGTGTCCCGGAGGACCCAGGTTGGGGTTGAGCTTGGAGACAGCAGCTCCCGGCTTGTCCTTGTGCTTCCTCTGCGGGATCCTGCGGCTCCCGTGCCGGAGCGGCCGGCCGGTGCAGCCGGGGCCTGCTGGTGTGTCCGCCGGGAGCGCAGCGCGTGTTGCAGCGCGGACGCTCCCGTGCCCAGCTTGTGTCTGTGTGTGCACGATGCTGTCCAACCTGGGCTGCATTTACCTCCGTTTCCCCCCCCAAAAACCGCCTTTCCAGGCAGGCAGCAGCCGAGGACGTCCTCGAGGGCACCACGTGGAGCATCGCGGCCCGGGGCCGCTGTCCCTGCGCGGCTCGAGCCCCTGGGACCTCTCCCGGAGGTGGCCCCTTGCAGCCCGCTGTCCTGGCCAGCGCTTGGGCGCCCGGCGGCGCCGCTGACGTCCGCCCTTTCCTTCCCTGTGTGCCGCAGATGAGCGAGAGCGAGACCCTGATCAGTATGGTGAACAGGATGGTGGAGAGCTCGTCCCCTAGGGCTCAGCTCTACATGCAAGTAAGCGTCCGCGGGGCAGCGCCCGCGCCATCCATCGCCGCCGGCACCGCCGCTCATCCCGCATCCATCCGGCTCCGGCACATCCCGCGCTCGGGGCCACGCTAGTCCATCGCAGGCTTCGCTAATCCATCCATGAGCCATTCAAAATGCCTCCTAAATCCCTGTCCGGGAAGCGCAAGTTGGGAGCGGAGAGGTGTTGAGCTCTGTGCCGCCATGGGCTTGGGCGCTTCGCTCGCCCTCCGCCGGCCTCTGCGTGCGGATGAGGGCAGGATTTGCTCTGGATGCGAGGAATCCAGCCCTTGGAGCACAGCAGGAGCCCCAGGAGCAGCTCCGGAGCGGGGCACATCTCACCATTCATGTGCACTCATCTCACGCTCCCGCTGCGGGTCTCCGAGCCCGCCCGGATCACGGCGCTCCAGTGGGATGTGCTTGCACGTGGGACAAGATCCCGGGCGTCCCTCTGTCGTGTGGCCTCGCCGTGGCCGGGTGCCACGTGGGGCGGCGAGTGGGTGATGCCAGTGGAGCAGGGAGCAGCTGGAGGGCGCGCGGAGGCGCCCGCGCCAGACTCTGCCTCCAGCCAGGTCTGGGTCTATTTGCATCGTCCTCTGGTTTTTAAATCGCTCTGGAGGAACGTCTTGCTTTCTAGCAATAATGATGCCCTCCTTCCTATCTCAGGCCTTTCATCTCGAGATCTTGGAGGCATTTAACTGCTGACGTCCCATTAGTAATGTAGATTTCCAGGAAAGGAGAATGAGTCAGTGCAAAGCTGCCTGGGGAACGGGTGCTCCTGCGGCTGCTCATTTGTAGGTGCTTTGGCTCTGCGCAGTGGGATTGATCTTGCTGCCTTGTTTCCCCGCCTGTTAGATGGAGGCCGTGGCCCTCCAGGAGGTTAGAGGTCCACAGGGTACCTCTGAGCTCAGGTTTTGGCGTCTTGCAATGGGTTTGTGCCTGGTGGATTCCTCCTGCTCCTCCAGCCCATCCAGGCTGGGGACGGGGAGAGGCTCCATCTCTCCAACCTTTGCTCCAAGCTCTTGCGTTCCCAGCCTTGTTCTGGCCTCTCCTGGCCCCCTTTCTGCTGCGTCCCCCTTCGCGGGGCCGGCGCCGTCCCAGCGCCAGCGCAGCCGGGGCCGCGCTCGCCCATCGCTCTCCTTGCAGGTGACGCCCTTCCCGGAGGCCTACAGGGAGACGCTGCACACCTACAAGATAAGCGAGCAGGACACGGACGTAAGAGCCGCCCTCGGCCCCCCTGTCCCACCCCGCGCTCGGTTTTGCGCTGCGTCGTGGGGGTAGAGGTCGTGCAGCGAGGCTGGAAACCCTCCCTGCTGCCCTGTCACTGGCCGGGGACCGTGGCCGGTCCCCTGCTCTGACGGCGCTTCCTCCCCCTCTCTCTTGTCCCTGGGGACAGAAGCTCCTGGGGAAGCTCTGTGAGCAGAACAAGGTGCTGCGGGAGCAGGAGCGCCTCGTGCAGCAGCTCCGCGCTGAGAAGGTACGTGGGGTGCGCGGGGTGCAAAGGATGCAGCCCCCCCTCTCCTGGGGCCAGGCGGGGACCAGCCTGGCTGCAAAGCGGTGGCCGGGTGGTGACAAGGAAGACACAGGGACAACCTGGCCGTGCCACAGCCCCATGCTCCCCGTGCATTAACGGCGCGTGCACGAGGAGAGGCTCTGCTGCAGGAGCTGCCCCAGGTCCCTGAGGACTGAGCCGGGTTGAGCCCACGCTGGCGCCGAGGCCACCGTAAGAGCTCTCAGGGCTGCGTCCCCCTGCCAGGAGAGCCTGGAGAGTGCCCTCATGGGGACGCACCAGGAGCTGGAGATGTTCGGGAGCCAGCCAGCCTACCCGGAGAAGCTGCTGCACAAGAAGGAGTCGCTCCAGAACCAGCTCATCAACATCCGCGTGGAGCTGTCCCAGGCCAGCACGGTAACAGCTCCCGCACAGCCCTCCTCTTCCTCCTCCTCCTCCTCCTCCTGCTTCCCGCTGGCACTAGCTGTCCTTGTGCCGGACACGGGCCCCGCTCTGTCTCCTTGGCTCCCGCTCTCTCCCGGCCATTCCCTTTGTGCCGTTGGGATGGAGAGCTCCCGAAGGCGTGAGATGGAGCCACGGCTCGTGTCCTGCCGCTGCCACCCCTGCTCTGGGAGCCCATTCCCTGTGCTTTGGGGGTGCTGCCATGCAGCACTGGCCATGGAGGAGATGCAACCCCCTTCCTCCTCTCCCTCCTCCTCCTCGCACAGGCCTTGGCCAACAGCACTGCTGAGTATGAGAGCCTGGAGAGCGAAGTGTCCGCCTTGCACGACGACCTCTGGGAGCAGCTCAACCTGGACATCCAGGTGAGTCCAGGCGTCCTGCGGACACCGAAGCCTCGGGGCCTCTTCGCTGCCCCCAGGGAGCCGCTCTGACCCCTCCACCCGCCCCCCGCAGAACGAGATGCTCAACCGGCAGATCCAGAAGGAGATCTGGCGCATCCAGGACGTGATGGAGGGGCTGCGCAAGAACAACCCGTCGCGGGGCACGGACACGGCCAAGCACCGAGGTGAGGCCCGGACCCGCCGCCCCGTCTCGCCACGGCCCCGCCGGGCCCCGTGCCCATTTGTGCTCTCGTCCGCAGTGGCCCCGGGCCCCTCGGGCACCTACAGCTCCACCAGCCCCGCCAGCCCCCTGAGCTCGGCCAGCCTCACCAGCCCCCTGAGCCCCTTCTCGCTCGTCTCCGGCTCCCAGGGCTCGCCCACCAAGCAGGGACCCGGCGAGGTGAGTGGAATGGGGGGGTTCAGCCTGGCGGGACCCCCCTTGGCTGTGTGCATGGGCCAGAGGACTCCTAGGGTGGCGCGGGTGCAGGTTGGGTTGCAGCACACAGTGCGTGTCACCCACGCGACAGTGATGATGACGCGAGCGATGGGGAGCCTCGAGCCGGCCATGAAGGGCAGAGCCCAACCAAGCGTCCCGGCAGCAGCAGGATTCTTCCTCCTCCTCCTCCTGTTCCCAGCACGCCGCTTCCGCTGGTTTCCGCACTCCGTCTCTCTCTAACTCTCGTTTCCTTCCCGCCTCAGCTCCTCTGCTCTCACGCCTCTCGCTCCTCTCCGCCCCAGGAACCGGGCCCACCGCGACCTCCCCTTCCCAAGTCCTACGTCCCCCTGGAGTCTCCTCCGACGGTTCCTCCGCTGCCTAGCGAGGGCCGCCGCTGGCCGTCCCCTACCTCCCCTTCCTGGCAGCCGGGCGCCGAGGCGCAGAGGGGACAGGTACCGAAACGTTGCTGTCCCACCCTGCGCCACAGGGTGGGTGGCATGTGGCACAGGGGACATGAGACTTGCTGCTCCTGGTTGGTGCAGGCTGCTCGCGGTGCTGCTTCCCGCTCTCAGCTTCCCTCTTATTTCTCGCTGTCCCCCGTGCTGGAGAGCAATCCACGGGGCCTTGGGACACCCGGTGCGACGCTCCCGCTGGCGGGCAGGGTGCGTAACGGGCACCGAGCCTGTGCCTGGGTGCAGGGCGCGTGCAGCAGATGCTGCTGCTGCAAAGGGGCAGCGGGCGATGGTTGCAAGCGCCGATGACGCCTGCCGGCCCATGGGCTACCAGGACGTGCCCGTGGGTTCGAATTCCCCCGCCTGGCGTCCGCGTGTCCGTCCGCGTGGTCTGCGCGTGGGCGCAGGGAGCGGCCGCCCGAGCGCCCGGCTCGCTCACCGCGGTGCCACCTTCCCTCCGCAGCCCCCGGTGAGCGTGGAGCAGAGCGGGAAGGACGGGCCGGGGTCCCCGGGCGAGGGGCTCCTGCATAGCCGCCAGGAGCACGACACCGAGAAGCAGGCGGCCCTCAACAAAGGTGGGCGGCCGCGGGGGACCCGGAGGTGGCCCCGAGCTCGGCGGAGGTGGCCCCGCAGGTGGCACCTGCCGTCCCTGGGGCCTCATGGGGAGCGTTTGCAGCCTGGCCTGTGGCACGGGCAGGGACGCAGCGGGATGCGACGGGGCCGATTCCCCCTCCGCGGGCTCCCCACGTCTCAGCGCGGCCCTTGGCTTCCTCCACAGTGGGCATCGTCCCCCCCAGAACCAAGTCGCCGGCGAAGGAGGAGGTGGCGCCGGTGAGCGGCGTGGTGCGGAGGAGCGCCAGCGGCGTGCCCAACGGCCTCGGCTCCCGGGTAGGGATGCGGAGGCGAGGGAGCGATGCCGGGAAGCGAGGGAGCAATGCCGGGAGCCGGGCTGGCTTGGGGGTCCACGGGGGGGGAGGCGCCACGCGGCAGCGCGTGACCCACAGGGGTGCCGCCAGGAGAGACCCAAGAGCGCCGTGTTCGCCACCGAGACCAAGGCCAAGATGAGCGTGGAGGAGCAGATGGACCGCATGAAGCGGCACCAGAGCGGCTCCGTGAAGGAGAAGCGGCGCAGCCTGCAGCTCCCGGGCGTCCAGCCGCCCGAGGGGCCCCGCGCACCGGCCTCCTACAAGGTGGTGAGTGCCCGGGTGGGCTGGGGATGAGGGGCTGCTGCCCCTCGCCTGGGCAAGGCACCCAAGACCTTGGAGAGGGCATGCAGAGGGAGGAAGAGGAGGAGGAAGGCTGAGCGCGCGGCGCTCGCCGCAGGTGCGCCGGCACCGCAGCATCCACGAGGTGGACATCTCGGACCTGGAGGCCGCGCTGCGCTCCGAGGAGCCGGGCAAGGTGTACGAGACGCCGCGCGAGGAGATCGCCCGCCTGCGCAAGATGGAGCTGGAGCCGCAGCACTACGACGTCGACATCCACAAGGAGGTGAGGCCGGGCGCCGGGGACCACAAGCAGCGCAGAGCGGACCCCATTTGAGCGCCCGGCTCACCCCTCACCCTGTGCCCAGCTCTCGACGCCGGACAAGGTCCTCATCCCCGAGCGCTACGTGGAACTGGAGCCCGACACCCCGCTGAGCCCTGAAGAGATGAAGGAAAAGCAGAAGAAGGTGGAGAGGATAAAAACCCTCATTGCCAAGTCCAGGTGAGGCTGCCGTCCCGCGCCCGCCCCGTGTCCTTCGCTCGGATCCCGCCTCGTGTCCGTGCGCTCGGTGACGCCGGCGCTCCCGCAGCCTGCAGAACGTGATCCCGCTGAGCGAGAGCGACGTGGACGCCCCGCCGGACGCCGAGACGCAGCTGCAGGAGCAGGAGAAGCGGATCGAGATCTCGTGCGCGCTGGCCGCCGAGGCGTCCCGCCGCGGCCGCATGCTCTCCGGTGAGCGCGAGCGGAGCGCTCGGGCGGGCGTCCCGCGGGGATGGGCCGCGGCGGGAGCCGAGGGCACTGGCCTCGTCCGTGCGGCCGGTCCATGTGTCCTCGCCACGCTTGCTTCCTCCCTGCCCTGCTTCCTCCCGGCTCTCTCCCGCGTGGCCGCTCCTGCTCTGTCCCCGCCGCCGGCCGCTCTTCACCCCCGTCTTCCCTTTCTCGTTTCCAGCTCAATGCGCTACCCCGAGTCCCCCCACCTCCCCAGCCTCCCCGACTCCACCGACCAACCCCCTCTCGTCCGAACCGTCCCGGGGCGCCGACTGCAGCCATTTTATGCGTGTCTGAGGCAGGACGTAAGCACCTTTTCTCTTGTTCTCCGTCCCCGCGCTCTCCACGGCAGCCTGCGCCCGGGGGCCTTTCTAGCCCCCGCTGGGCTCCGTTCTGCCCCGCGCTCGTCCATCGCTGCTTGCTCCAGCTAACAGCGCGCTGAGCCCGGTCTGCACCCGGGGACCGAGCGATCCTCATGGAATGGGATTCGGACAGGGCTGGAATTGGGGGGAATTGGTCAGGTTTTAGCGGGAGCGCAGGTGAAAAGGATGTTCCGGGGTGCTGTGCCGGGCTCAGCCGCGCTCTCCTCTCCCTGCAGCGCAAGCTCTGGCGGCCGCCACCGCTGGCAAGTTCCACGGGGCCACGTTCTAGCCCCGCAGCACGGCACGGCACCGAACCTCTCCTCGGCCATTGCTCTCCTGGATGCCCTTCCTCTCCCGAGCACCCCAGTTGGAGGAGCGGGAGACGCAGCGGGCAGGCTGCGTCTGGTGCCGGCTCCCACATCCTCGCCAGCCCTGTGTTCTGCTCCACACCGGAGACGTGCGGGAGCCGGGGGATGTGCGGGAGCAGGAGCTTGCCCGCAAGAACGTGGTACTGAGGGACCCGGGCACCATGGGCTGCCGCGTGCGGGACCTGTTGCAGCCAGTGCATTGACCTGAGCCCGGACGGTTGCAACGACCGCATCCGTGCCTGGCACAACTCCAAGGTCTCCCGGGACGGCACCGGAGGAGCGTGGGACTCCCGGGGCTCTCCATGCTCTATTGGGCTCCCGAGGGGCTGCAAAGGGGGCTCTGCTGCGTGGAGACCGGCCAGTCCTCACCGGGGATGGTGCTTTCGCCTGCTGCTGGATCCGGATGCTTCATCCCTGCTCCTCGGGCAGCTCTTCCCGCCTTGTGTCCCTCCCCGAGCCCGCTCCGGTGGAAGGAAGCAAGGAGCCGGGCACGGGACTGTCCACAGGAGAGCAGAGGGGCCTGCAGAGGTGCCCGGGCAGTGGGGGGCTCCGCGCACGGGTGGCACGAGGATGCCCGGCCCGCGGCGGGCATGGAGCACGTCGGACACGGGCACGTCACGAGGGAATACCGGAACAGCGGGCTGGGTGCACATGGGACGTGCACTTATAGGGTGGCCGGGGGACCTGTCCCTGGCTCATCCCCAAGGGCGATGCCCCAGCCCTGGGCATGGGAAAGGGGGGAAGAGCGACACGGACTGGCGTGACCAGGACGGCAGCGGGTCCCGGTGGCACCACGTGCCAACCCCGAGCCCTGCCATCCCCCCCAACCCTTCCGCTTGCTTTCCCCCCTAGCAAGTTCCCTTTCCTTTAGCTTTCCCGAGGGAGAAGGAGGCTGGTTCTGGCTGGGAATGCAAAAATCCCCTGTGAGCTTCTCCCTGGGAGATGCCATGCGCGGGAGCTGGGCACCCGCGCCCCGGATGGGCACCCGCGGCCCCAGATGCTGCTCCCAGAGCCTCCCGATTCCCAGCCGGCTCCGCGCCGGGACCTTCCTTGTGTCTGTGAGCTTCCCGCAGAGCCCCGGCCCGCCGGGCTGCTTGATCGTAGCAATACACATAGTGTCCCAGGACCCCTGCCCGCGCCGGGACCCCCCCGCAGCCCCTTTAGCTCATAAAGCCGGCCCTTTATTTTGCTATTACATGCCTTAATATATGTTTTATGGAAATTATACATTTATAATATATAAATATATATATATTTGGTTTTTTCTCTTCTTTTCTGGGAGGTACTGTTTTGTGCTAACTTTCTCTTGCTCCGCAGGGTTGTTGGCACCAGCCCTGCCAACGAGTTAGGAAAGCAGACTCTTTGCCAATTTATCAGAGGAAAAAGGAAAAAAAAATATTTAAAAAATATATTTTTTCTGCTTTTATTAAAAGCAAATTTATTTAAAATAAAATATAAAGAGAGCTGTAAGTTTTCGGCAGCGATACCTTTATTTCCCCGTGGCGAAGGCTCCTCTGCCCGTGTAAATTTGGGTGCTCCCGCTCCCTACGGAGCCACCCGTCTTTTACACCGGCTGTGGGGGGCCTCCCAGGACCCCAAGCACCTGCCCAACGCACTAGGACCCCACGACTGCAGACTTGTGGACCTGGGCTTTTTTAGTAGTTATTTTAATTCTTTATTTTATTATTATTTTTTTTCATACCACTTCATATACCAGTGACTTGTAACCGAGACAGGATTTCAGGATTTGCATTGGGAGGAAACCTATTTATGCACTGGGTGGGAGAAAGGGAGGGCATTGAAGGGGGACATTTGTTTTCTGGGTTTTATTTTATTTTTTTTTTGCTAGTGTTAGAGAAATAAAATATCTAAGAAACTACATTATGTCTGTGTCTTTTGTACAGGGGTGACCGCGGATAATAATATTAGGGCAAAAAGGGCCCAATTGGCTACAGTTCAATCTGTGGCTGATGGCTCCTTCCTTCCTTCCTTCCTTCCTTCCTTCCTTCCTTCCTTCCTTCCTTCCTTCCTTCCTTCCTTCCTTCCTTCCTTCCTTCCTTCCTTCCTTCCTNTCCTTCCTTTCCTTCCTTCCTTTCCTTCCTTCCTTTCCTTCCTTCCTTTCCTTCCTTCCTTTCCTTCCTCCCCTCCTTCCTTCCTTTCCTTCCTCCCCTCCTTCCTTCCTTCCTTCCTTTTTGGGGTAATTTTCCCCTTGCTCCTGATTTTCAGTGTTGCTGCTCTGTGGTGGGTGGGAAACGCATCTAAACCCTGCAGATTTGTATAAAACCAATGCATAAAAACAGCAGGTTTCGGAAAGAGGCTCCTTATGCTGGACGCAACCCCGGGGATCGTTCCGAGATGCCGGGATCCTTCGGAGCGCGGCCGGATCCTTGCCGGGATCCCCGCCGGGGCGATGCGCGCTGGCAGGGCTGCAGCGGGTTAATGATTTGCGGGATGACGTGGGGACTAAAGGCCTTTCCAAGGGTCAGCGCCGGCGGGCGAGATGGTGCCGCTGACGGACGCCCAGCGTAAGCAGGACGGAGGGGCGGGATCGGCGCCGTGCCGGCGGCGCCGGCTCCCACGGGCGCTCGGGGACGGGGGCCACGTGGGCTGGAGCGCTTGGAGGGACGGCTGCCTCGGTGGCTGCTGCCCTCCGGCCCCTGGGAAGGTGGGATGTGGGATGAGGAGCCCCAACAGATCCCTCACCATGGACCCCGGCCTCTGCAGGGATCGGCCTGGGGCTCGTCGGCTTCGGCATCTTCTTCATCCTCTTTGGGGTGCTCTTGTACTTTGATTCGGTGCTCCTGGCCTTCGGGAACGTGAGTAGCGCCAGGATGGGTCGGCCCGAGGGGATCTCCTGACCGGGCTGGGCCCAGAAGATGCTGGTGCCAAAGCAGGAGCGAAGAGACCATCCAAGCAGAGCTCTTGCTGTTTCCTCCCGCTAGATCCTCTTCCTCTGCGGCTTGGTCTTCATCATCGGCTTCAGAAGGACCTTCACCTTCTTCTTCCAGAGGCCCAAACTGAAGGGCAGCAGCTTCTTCCTGGGGGGGGTCGTCATCGTCCTCATGCGCTGGCCCCTCCTGGGCATGCTGCTGGAGGCCTACGGCTTCGTCACCCTCTCCAGGTCTGTGCTCCACCCACCGCCTCTTCCTTGCAACCTTCTCCCAAATCCTAGCCCTGCGGTTGGGCTTTCCAACCCACCCCGCCTTGAGCAGGTCCGGGGGAGCAGACTGGGAGCACTGGTGGGAGCTCCCATCACTGCCCCGGTCCCACCAGAGCCCTGCGAGCACCCTCGGCTCGCGCATTAACCGAGACCTGTGTCCTCACGCAGGAGTTTTTTCCCGGTGGCTTTTGGATATCTGGGCACCTTGGGGAGCATCCCGCTGCTGAGCAAGGTGGGCGCTGGTGAAGGTTGAGCTCTGCAGTTCCTGGGTGACGTGAACCCGCATCTCGGCCGGGTTTGGGAGCGCGCTCCCGCATCCCCGCCGCTCCCGGAGGCTGCGCCGCAGCAGCTGGCGCTAACCGGGAATTGTCGCCCTTGCAGCTGTGGCAGAAACTCGGTGACACCGGCTCCGTGGTGTGACCAGCCGCGTGCTAGGAATGGGAGCCGGCGAGTGAGACCCGGCCGCGTGCAATGGCACCCAGGAGCCCTCGCGCCGCCCGCGATGGGGACAGGGACAGCGAGCGGGCGGCGCCCAAGGCTCCCCGGCCTCTTCGAGCTCAGCGGCCTCTTCTCCTTCCTCTTCTGTCTGCCCTTCATGAGCTGGGTTTAATTAAAATCCGTGTCTGAAACCAAAGGTGGGCCAAGCTCCCGTCCTGTGGCTTGGGGTCTGCTCCAGCTCCTCTTAGTGTCACCGAAAGGCGTCATGGCCATGGTTGGAGGTGACACAGGGACCTTTCCACAGCAATGCCTGGAGAGGGAGAGGGCATCATCCCATGGCCAGAGGGGACACAGGCAACATCTCATGGGCTCAGTTGGAGGTGACACAGGGACCATCTCATGGCCACAGCTGGAGGTGATACAGGGACCTTTCCACAGCCATGGCTGGAGATGGAGAAGACACCATCCCATGGCTGGAGGTGACACAGGGACCATCCCATGGCCGCAGTTGGAGGTGACACAGGGACCATCCCATGGCCACAGCTGGAGGTGATACAGGGACCTTTCCACAGCTGTGGCTGGAGATGGAGAAGGAACCACTCCATGGCCGGAGGTGACACAGGGACCATCCCATGGCCACGGTTGGAGGTGACACAGGGACCATCTCATGGCCATGGCTGGAAGTGGCTGTTCCCAGTGTCCCCTTGCTGTGCTGGCTCACTATGGGACATGGAGCTGCATTCCCAAGCAGTCCGGCATGGATACGGGCTGTGGAGAGCGGGGCAGCCTAGAGAGCAGCGGGAGAGGGCAGGGGAGGTTAGGAAAACACCCATTAAAACCCATTAACATTTCATGACCTTATCGGAGGAGAGTAAATTACCCTTTTCAGATGCAGTGACCATGAAAAAGCAGATGACATCTGGGATTATTAATTAATCAAGAGATGCTGGGTGGGGGAAGAAGCAAATACTTCAAGAGCACAAAGTTGGAGAGAGTGCTCCCTACCTCCAAGCATCATTGCTGGGATCAAAGGCCCATTCCCTGCTGGAGGACGGGAGCTGGAGGGAGAGGAATGTGGATGTGCATCGGCATCGCTCCATGGAGGTCTGCAAGGAGCAGCACAGGAGCTGCATCAACCCACGGCCCAGTTTGCACCAGCTGAGTGGATAGGAACCACCTTTCTACGAGTGCACGGGAAGCAGAAGTTTAATTAAAGCAGGGCAGCTGCATCAAAGCTGGTCCCTGTGTGGATATCCTTCCTAAATTGCAAGAATTAATTATTGTGTTTGAATGAAACCTGCTCCCTCCTGATTGAAGCAGGGCCTTGCTGGCAATTTCCATCAGGAGGAAGATCTCCTGCAGAATGAGCTCCCCAGGAGACATAAACCAGGGATGATCCCTCAAGACTAGCTGGGGTTGTGCTCTCTCTTTGCTATTTTCCAAGGTCCCTTAGAGGGAAAAGAAAAAGAAGGGCTGTTTGGGAAAACTTCCTAATGATCTTCTTTAGGGAAGGGCTGTTTTGCATACTTTACATTCCCAATTTAAGAGCTACCCTTGTTCAAGTGAGGAGCTTATCTTTACAGGAGCTTATCTTGCAGGAAAGCACTTGTTTCTCTTTGGAAAGGGTTCTTATTTCTTGAGATCATCCTTAGCCTGATTGATTTTCCTTGAAAGCAGACAGGAAAAAAGCGAAATAAGAGCTCGTGGCTGTGTTATTCCCAGAGGGATCTTTATAGGTACGGAGCCATGTGAACTGCCAGCCCTTCACATGGAGCGCGTTTCCAGGGGGAATTGCGGTCCTGCTTGGTGGCCTCCCTGCAAACACGTGGGACGAGGGTCACTCCAGGTAGCACAAGGTGAAGATGGTGTGAGGCTGCGTGGGACAAACTCAGCATCCTCCCTGCGGATAAAATGGGCTGGAAAAGGTTTGTTTGGGTTATTTCTCCACAGCTCTGCTGTGAGCTGGGGTGCAGAGAGCTGGGTCACCACCCCGGGGCCCCTCTACTTTTCCCTGCCCATCCCTGCTCCCCCTGAGCCCTGCAAGGAGAGTGTCCATCCATCCATCCATCCATCCATCCATCCATCCATCCCTCCCTCCCTCCCTCCCTCCCTCCCTCCCTCACTCCCCAGCCGCTGCCGTATCCACCATCCACACGACATTCCCAGGCTCTCACGGCTGTGCTCCCGATTCCCCGGGTTAGAGAGGAGCGGGAACCGCTCGAGCCCCTTCCCCAGCTCAGTGCCTGCAGCCCCTTTGGGAACGCGGGCTCCATGAGGCCAGCGGAGCCGGCGGGATACCCGGGAGGGCGGGTCTGCCCATGGCCGCCGCTCCCGAGCCGGGCTCCTGACCCCGCGCCCGGGCCGCCCGGCTCCCCGCGAGTGACGCAGGTCGGGCCGGTGGCACCGCGACCCCGTGTGGGAAAAGACGTCAGGGGAACCGGCTCCTGACCCTGCGGGGCAAAGCCTGGCACGGGGGAGCCGGGATGCTCCAGCTGCCGGAGCTGAGCCTCGGTAACCCCGCGGCACCCGCTTGTGTTCACCCCCTTTAAACTCCGCATGATGCCATGCGGGGGGACCCCCCTATCACGGGGGTGACCCCCCCCAGGCTCCCGTGGCCTCTGAGCACCGATGCCCACGGGATAAGATGACGGCAGTGCCCTGGATAAGAGCTGTGTGCAAGAGGAGCACGTCAGCGCGCTCGAGGAGCCGGGCGCTGGGGCTCCTACGTAACCAGGGTTCTTCCGAGAATGTTTTTACGGCCAGCAGGGTAATTTCCCAGCGAGGTTCCTTGGGATGGAGCGTCTGGGCCAGAGCCAGGGCACCCAACACAGCAGAGCCCAGGGCAGCGCGGGAGCCCTCCAGGCACCGGGGCAAGGAGCAGGATCCTTGCAGAAACGCGTCCTCTCAGCCCTAACTGGGATTTTCCAAGCAGACCGAGGGTCCTCCTGGTAACATGTGGCCTCTGAGTCCCCCTCAGTGCATCCCTGGTCTTGCACTAACAAGAGGCAGATCTGAGCCTTCTTAACAGCCTCAGTCCCTCTTTGCCTGTGTTTGGGCTCTTGGAGGGTGCTGGGTGGCATCCCAGAGACCAGACCACGGGCATTTCCACCTTGACACAGCATCGTACGCCACCCTTGCAATGAGCTTTTGCTGTTCTCTGCACTCAAGGAGGCTGTGCTCACCAGCTGGTATGGCCAGGCTGGGTGGCGCTTTCCCCGCTCACCGGGTGCTCTGGGCAGCACCCAAAAGGGCAGCACAGTCTGGAGCAGCTGCGGGGCCCACAACCGGTGCCAGCGCCTGCTTTCCTTGGCTCTGGGCTCTTTGGGAACACCCTCTGTGCCTCCTTTCCCGCATGGAGCTAGTGAAGCCACTCCGGAGGATGCTTCGTATCCACGGCGGAGCAAGCCTGGCTGCTGCCCCAGCGCTGCTCTCCTGATTGACGCCCACAGGCACTCGGCCCGTGCCAAGCACGTCGTGCTAACAACGGCCCAGTGCTGACACCCAGCAATGCTGCTAATGGCACGGAGTGCGGGGTCACAGCACCCAGTTATTCACGGCTCCTTGGTGCTGCCCACCTGCCCACTGGGCTCTGCGTCCCAGTGCCAGCAGGCAGCCGTCCCCAGCCCTCCCTGGGGAGGAGAAACCCGTGCGGATGCAGGAACTCGGGCTATAAAAGCAGCCTCCCCTCAGAGGTCCGAAGGGATCTGCTGCAGGAGAAGGCGGCCGCGGGGCAGCGCGCGATGCCGGCGGCACGGAGCAGCGGGCTGCAGCGGTGCTTGCTCCTCGTGGTCGTCACCTGCGGCGCTGGCGTCCTCCCCGCGCCAGCCCAGGCTCTGCAAAGGTAGCAGCCGTGCACGGCGCTCATGGGCTGCCGCTCTTGCTGCCTCCGGGCTTTCCTTGGGGCTTGGGCCGGTGCTAAGTGCTGAGGAGCCCCCCATGCAGCCCCCGGGGCAGCCGCGTGTCTTTGGAGCAGCCGGAAAACGCCTTTGTTTTCCCATCCCTTTTGCTTGCCAGCACCTCCGGGCTTGCGTGCTCTTCTTCCTCTCTCCCTTTGAGCCCTGCCTGGCTTAACAGCATCCCTGCTTCCCAAAGACAGAGCAGCCCAGGGAAGCTTTCCTTGCAACGGGGATTTGCTGGGCTCCGCTTGGCTAAGGCGGCCGGTGCCCGGCGGGGAGCTGCTGCCACCTAGAGCCACCCGGCTGGATGTCCCGAGCGGGAGGGACATGCCGCGGCCTCCCCGCCCGCAGGATCCCGCTGCGGAGGATGCCCTCCATCCGCCAGACGCTGCGGGAGATGGGCATGAAGGTGGCGGACGTGTTCCCCGAGCTGCAGCGGGGCGCGCGCCGCGCCGCCACCGTGCCCCGCAACGGGACGGCGCCCACCGTCCTCACCAACTACCTGGACGTGAGTGTCCCCTGCACCCCCCCCGCCGCCGAGGTGGCCCCTGGCCGTGCCCCTGGGCCACGCGTCCCCTGTCATCCCCAGACCCAGTACTTCGGCGAGATCAGCATCGGCACCCCGGCGCAGACCTTCAAGGTGGTCTTCGACACGGGCTCGGCCAACCTGTGGGTGCCATCGCGCCAGTGCTCGCCCCTGTACAGCGCCTGCAGTGAGTGCTGGGATGCGCCGGGGCGAGAAATGCGCCCACCCTCCGTCCTGAGGCTCCCTTGTCTGCTTGGAGAAGCCTGAGGATGCTCAGCTACCCGCAGCGGGGCTCTGCTCTTGTGAAGCCCCCCGATGTTGGGACACTTGTCCCGCTGGGGTGGCGCAGCAGGGGCATCCTTTGATGCTCGTGCCCTGCTCCCCAGTGTCCCACAGCCGCTACGACGCGTCCAAATCCCGCACGTACGTAGCCAACGGCACCGGCTTCGCCATCCGCTACGGCACGGGGAGCGTCAAGGGCTTCCTCAGCCAGGACGTGGTCACGGTGAGCGCGAGTGGTGCCCACCCGCGGGCACGGGGGCCACCCCGAGCGGCGGCTCCGCTGGGGATTCGCCCTGCCAAGACCCTCGTGCCCTTCCCCTCGCCAGGTCTCGGACATCCCCATCGTGCAAGTCTTCGCCGAGGCCACGGCGCTGCCGGCCTTCCCCTTCATCTTCGCCAGGTTCGACGGCGTGCTGGGCATGGGCTACCCCAGCCAGGCCATCGATGGCATCACGCCCGTCTTCGACCGCATCCTCTCGCAGCAGATCCTCAGGGAGGACGTGTTTTCCGTCTACTACAGCCGGTGGGTCCAGCTGCTTCTGCCCAGTCCCTTGCCATCAAATCGTGCAAAGCCTCCAGCTGCTGGAGCGTTGCAACTGGGCGCCAACGTGGCCCTGCAGCTGAGGGCAAAATGTGTAAATAAATGAAAATGCGGCAGCTGGTTGAGCTGAGTGGCAGCTTGTGGCGCAGGGTTGCAACCAGCCTCTGCTCCGGAGGCTCCGGGCTCAGGGGGTCTCTCTCTTTGCAGAGCTTCCAAGTAAGAGGACAAGAATTGCCTCTTCTCCTGGCACCTTGCCCTGCTCCAGGGGAAAATTCCCAGCCCCTGCTCTCCACGTCGTGCCCTGCTGCGGGCTGGTTTGGCCACCCCAGGGCCTGCCTTGCCCGCAGGAACTCCCCTCTGCATCCCGGCGGCGAAATCATCCTGGGAGGCAGCGACCCAGCCTACTACAGCGGCGACTTCCACTACCTGAGCACCAGCAAAAGCGGCTTCTGGCAGATCCGCATGAAGGGGTGAGACCATCCTGCGCTCCCAGCATGTGAGGACGGGCTGGGAGAATCCCATGGGCTGCGCGGGGATGGGGTCCGGAACAGGCTGCCCAGGGAGGTTGTGGAGTCTCCTCTGGAGGTCTTCCAAACCTGCCTGGATGCCACCCTGTGCCATGTGCTCTGGTGTCCCTGCTGGAGCAGGAAGGTTGGACTAGATGATCTCAAGAGGTCCCATCCAACCTTGACCATTCTGTGATGTGTCCGTGCTGCCGCACACCCCTCTCTGCTCCGTTCCAGTGTTTCCGTGGGGGCTGAAACACTCTTCTGCCAAGAAGGCTGCTCGGTGGCCATTGACACCGGCGCGTCCTACGTCACCGGCCCGGCCGGCCCCGTGGCCGTCCTCATGAAGGCCATCGGGGCGGCCGAAATGGCCGAGGGAGAGGTGAGCAGCCCCGCGTCCCGTCGCGTGTGCCCCTCGCCTGCACCCCAGCCCTTGTCTCCTTCCTCCCCCAGTTCGTCGTGGACTGCGACCGAGTCCCGCAGCTGCCCAACATCTCCTTCCACCTGGGCGGGAGGGCGTACGGGCTCAGTGGTGCTGCCTACACCCTCCGGGTAAGCGGGCGTCCCACCGTGGGGGTGTCCCGGGAATGTCCCCGCGGGGGTCCTGGGAACATCACCGCGGTGGTCCCAGGAACATCCCTATCGTCACCGCGGGGCTCTCCTGCCCTTCGCAGCAATCCCGGTACGGGGAGGACATCTGCGTGGTGGCTTTCTCGGGCCTGGACATCCCGCCGCCCGCCGGTCCCCTCTGGATCCTGGGAGCCACCTTCATCGGGCACTACTACACCGAGTTCGACCGGCGCAACAACCGCATCGGCTTCGCCACGGCCCTGTGACGGCCCCGCTCCGCGCGGGAGCCGCCGCACAGCCCTCCCTTCTCCCGCTGCTGCTTTTCCTACGGAGCCCATTCGGGATGGGGATCCCAGCAGCAGCGTGGCTCATGTGCAATAGTCCAGCGTGCAGGTGGCCAAGCTGGCAGTGCCACCGAGGAGGGACGATTTGTCGCAGTCTGTGTTGCTCTTCGCGCGGGAGAAAAAATAACCCGGCTGCATTCGGTGACTGGTTGAGCTGGTGTTAACCCTGTCCCCCTCCTCGACTTTGCATTAAACAAAACCTCAAAGCACCAGGCGGCTGAATTGATGCCTGTTCTTGCAGAGGAGAGAGAAACGGGGCAGGCTTTTAAGAGAAGGGGGAAACAAGTGCTCCTTTATTGGGATTTGCCAGAGCGGCCGCTCTGCTTTTATCCTTCCCTGTGCAAGAGCGGAACGCGCTCCCTGCTCCTGCCAGTGCATCCGGATGCAAAGGATGGGGGCTGTTCGGTGCTTGGATAAACTTTCTTTATGTGGGTGCATGGGGCACCCCTCTTGCAAAGAGGCCACGAGCCCCAGGAGCTGCATGGCAAGTTTGCAAACCCACTGCCTGGTCTATTTTCCTTGCCCTGGTGGCTCCAGGGGTTATTCCCAGCGCTGCCCGGAGCACGGGTGGACACTGGTGCAGCCTCGAAGGTTGCAACAATTTGGAGAGGAGATGGGAACATGATGCTGCTTTAAGCACCGAAAAGCCGAGCCCAAGCTGCCCTGCTGCAAAGGAGAGGACGCAAGTGGGTCTGAGCTTGGAAAAGCATTGGGGGATGGCTTAGGAAAACACACGATGGCTTCTGGCCATCGTTCTTTGCTGGAAAATGGTCAGTGGCCTAAAATAGGATGTTTCTCACATCCAGCTCTCTTCCCACCCGCTACACTTGTCCCGAGCAGAAGGAACAAAACCTTCCCTGGCCACTCCATGCGTTCCTGGCCCCTGCAGCCGGTCTATTAACACCTCTCATGTCCTTTGCCGGGGCAATTTCCCGCTTCCCACAGCACAGCCCTGGCCCCAAGACCCCCCTAAGCCATGGCTGCCCCGCATTAACACTCACCATGGGTCCGGCCCAGCAATTAGGCCCCACTCAGCCCAGCAAAGCGGCTGGAACAATTAGGACCATCTTATTAAAAGCGACAGAATCGTTCTATATATAGCAACACGAGGAACAGGCTGTGTTATTTTTTCTTCCCCTTCCTTCAACGATTCCCCCCAAGTCTCCACGGTCCATTTAGCTTCAGCTGCAGCCAGCTGTAAACTTTGGAGGGGGCATTCCTTGCTCGGAGCCACGTGTGCTTGTTATTTCCTCCGATAATGAAGCGAGGCTGGAGGGTGTCAGCATGCTGCAAGCGGGGGGAATCGGGGGGGGGGGGGCAAAGGACAAGCAGTGGCCCATCTTTAATGGGGATCTTAATGGGGTGATTCAATCTCTCCGTGCCACCTGCAAACCCGCATCCATAGGGTGCTTAATGCATGGAGCAGCGCAGGGCCACCTTCTCCAGAGGGGACACAGCCACCTTTTCCAGAGGGGACATTGTCCCTCCTGCAGCTCGGCTCCCACCAGGACGTGCTGGGTGCGACACCCTGTGACTCGCCCTGCCCCACTGGGCATCTTGCAGGGTCCCTTCCAGCCCCCAGGAGCAGCCACCCCCTGCCCGGTACCCCGAGCAAGGGGGAGGAAGCAGAGGAAGAGTCAGGGGGCCGCGCACTGGGGCCGGGCCCTCTCCGGTTCCCCGCGGGGCCGGAGCCGCCGGGCCGCAGTTCTGCTCCTCCTCGGCTCGGTGCCGGTTCGGTGCCCGTTCCCCCCAGCACGATAGCCGGTGTGCGGTTCCGCGCCCCCCCGCGTAGTCCCGGTGCGCGGTTCCACTCTCCCCTACGCGGTCCCGGTGCTCAGTTCCGCACCTCCCCATGCGGTCCCGGTGCGCGGTTCCGCCCCCACCTCCGGCGCGGTCCCGGTGCGCGGTCCCGCTCCCCTCAGCGCGGGGCCGGTTCGGTGTCCACCTCCCCCGCTGCGATGCCCGGTGCGCCACCCCGCTCTCCCCGGTACCGGCCCCGCTCCCCCCGGTACCGGCCCCGCTCCGGCGGGGGGTGCTCGGCGCCGCTCCCCCCACCCCGCGGTGCCGGTTCGGTGCCCCGCTCCCCCCCGTCCCGCGGCGCGGTGGCCGCAGCCCCCTGCGCTCACAATGCGGGCGGCGGGAGGCGGGCGGGCGGCGCGGGGAGGCACCAGCAGCGGCAGCAGCAGCAGGAGGAGGAGGAGGAGGAGGAGGAGGAGGGCCCGT